TCTCTTGGGCCTTCCTACTCTAGTGCCAGTCCATTTCCCCATCAAAAAAAGGCAGAGAACTCATGCCTCAGGATCCTGTGGAGAGTAAATCAAACAACACAGAATGTTCTCCAGGACATTGACGTTCACCAAGTCAAAGCCTTGAACTCTCACTGTGTCCCTGAGAAAGGTATTAGCGTCCACATCGCTGACTTAAAGATAGGAAAGCGGAGACTCAGAAAGGGTCAGTGAAGTGGCCAGGGTTACGAAATACGCACGTGGGCGAAGAGGATCTGCATTTTTCTCTTTCTCCTCCAAATACTTTTCCCAGTGTTACAACACTCACTGTAAGTAGTAGCTCAGATTCAGCAACATCCGGGTTAGACAACAGCCTATTTAGAGGAGGGAAATGGCTCCCCACATTGTCCTTAGAAGTTAGCCAACTGTGGGGAACGGTATCAGGCTTTGAAAACTCAGCTTCCGGTCTCAGCTCACACTCGCCAGAGATGGGGCCCACATTTGTCCGACAATCTTCCTCATCCCCGTTTTGTGTGTTTGTTTGGAGAGATTTTTGCCATGAGGTTTGTGTGCTCCTCAGAGAGACAGAGAAAGACAGAGAGAGAGAGAGAAAGTGAAGAATCACCCCTCCCCCGGGGGGTGGGAGATGGCCACTTCTTCTCCAATCTGCTCTCGAGATTTTGGGCACACATTCACACGTGCCAAGCATGAGTTTCAAGTCTCAGGGTCAGTCATGGGGGAGTCCAGCACCTTAACCTGCTGGCCCTAGTTTATTTGTTTTTGTTTTTGTTTTTCTTGGTAAAGTGGGTTAACCTGCTAACCCCCCAGAGTTACTGTGAGAATCAAATTAGAGTATTCGATCCACAATTCTCATAATATGTATCGAGAGTGCACATCTGCTTTGAAGTTCCCAACGGTGCTCTTCAGCTCTAGGGCTGGTGGGGCTGGGTACACCCACATACGCACACACACGTAAGTGCTCACGAGTGGAAGGAAATGTCAGACACATCGGCGGCCATGTGCTAGTGGTTAGTGGGCACACTGCACACGTCTCCAGGCTCTGTCTAGTTCCCACGTGCTGCTCTTCGTTTGGGCAACCATTGTGAGAAGTGTTCTGAAGTTATAGGGAGAAGCACTCTATCAATGCAGCAGCGCCCACTTGTGGCTTGGGGTGCTGAGAATGCAACAGTGCACAAGATGGACCAGGTCCTCTCCTCGGGGAACCCATGCTCTAGTCAGTGAAGAAAGGCAGCAAACAAGCAGATCAATGAGGAGCGTCCGAGGAGGATGGAGTGCTGTGAAGACAGTACAAGTGGCTTGAGTCCAGTGCCAAGTGCCTCCTTCAGATCTGCTGGTCAAGGTGGGGACTTTGGAAAGTTGACTCCAGAAGCAGAAAGAGCCAACCATACAAGGGCCTGGAAGAGATGAGCCCAGTGATAGGAGTGGCCAATGCTAAGGCCCAAGAGGAAGAATTGACTTGCCGCACTAGAAGACTGTCTGAAAGGCCAGTGAGGCCAGAGGAGCCATGAGCGATGAGCTCACAGTGGGCAGGACCCCCTCATGCAGGGCCTGGTAGGTGTGAGTGCTGGGGGTTACATTTGGCTGCCCACAAAGACACCAACCACAGGGGTTTCACCTAACAGGGTTCATTTTTTGCACAACAGAAAACCCTAAAGGAGGTGTCCCCTTCTCTACAGTCTTCGCCGATCCGCCAGAGCCTACGTGCCTGAGCTATTTCTTCTCTGTCACCTGGGGCAGATGCTTTTCATGCCTTGGCCATCCCATGGTTGCAAGATGATTGCTCTGTCTTCTGACTGAATTCAGGAGGAATGAAGCCTGAAGTCATCAAGCTGAGCAGCCATCCTCATACCAATGATGCAAATTTCCCCAGAAATCTCCCAGTAGAGCTCCGCTCACATTTCAATGACGAGAACTACATCACTTGGCCACCCTCAGCTACAAGGAAGGCTGAAAAATATGCTTTGTTTTCACACTAAGTTCACTGCTTCCTTAAACACACACATGGTGTGTGCATGTGTGTGTGCATGAGTGGGTGTACACAGTCCCACCAGTCCTGGGGCTGAAGACCACTGTGGAGAACGTCAATGCAGATGTGCAGTCTTGATACATATTATTAGAACTGCAGAATGAATACTCTTATTTGATTTCTTCAACAACACTATTTCCTCAGGAAAGATGCTCTTGAGTAAGCAGATTATTCCACCTGTGCTGAGTAGCTTGGAGTGTATTCTACGAATACATGGGACGTTATCTGTGGGTGGGGAAGTGAATTGGGAGTTCTGCTTTGAACATGTGAAATTAGATATGGCATAGCCACTCTTTGTAGTCCAAAACAATAGCTTACAGGCAAAGATATGGCTTCTCACTGGGCCTGGGGTGGCCCAGAGGTGTCTGAGGCCATCAGGATACCTGGATCGTTCTCCTTCAAAAGGCTTCTTGTGCTACCCCTGAGTTACCTACCATGTCACATGCCATTGAGTTGCCATTGAGATGCCATCACTGATAACATCCAACTTCATGCAGTGTTAAGGGAAAAAAATGAACTAAATTGTGCTGATAATAAAGCCAAGATACTAGATAATAACACTGATATGTTTTCTTTCAACCTGAACTTATTTCATACTTCTCAGAAATAATTTTTAAACTTATTAAGACATGAGTTTTTAACCATATAGCACTTTGCACATATATAAAAAGAAAAATCTTCTTAAAATTAATTGGTTAGGTATTAAAGCTTCTTTCCATTCAAATTCAAGTGGGTATCTGTGAATCGTCTGGATTTATTCCATCAAGAGTGTGAGCAATGCAGTCTCTTAAAGGAGGGCTCCATTACTGATTTCAGGATTTTCTTTGAAGCTACCGACACCCACCCCCAAGTTCTGATGCATATTGAAGACAATGACAACTCTATCACGTCTGTCACTTGGACAGCTCCCTGCTGCTCCTGAGGCTGAAATGACTGGGGTGGGGTGTGCAAGATCACCGTATGGTATGTGTGCTTCCACGAGCGTTCTTATGTGCACCACGGGGCAGAGCTGAGCAGCACCAAGTTTGACATCTGGGTGGATGAGTCCAGGAGGAACCGAGTCGAGTCCAGTAGAAGGGCAGGGATACATGGGTTTGCCGTTGTGCCTTCTGTAACTATGGATGATAGTCATATACACCTGATGGCATGTGGGGAAACCCAGGCAGAGAGGGCCCTCAAATGAAAACCTAGAGAGGAGCCAGCCAAGCTACTCAGAAAGAGCAGGCAGGGCGGCCCGAACTGATGATAAGGCAGTGATGTGGCAGCCCCAAGCGGAGAGGGAAGACGGTTAGCAGCCTTGAGCGCTGGTGGAGAGGTGGAGCAGGTTGGAAGTGGAAGAGTGACCTCTGGAATTGGCACTGTGTAAGTCACAGAAAGTCTGTGGTTGGGGACAACCGGGGGAAGCTGGATGAAAACCAGATAAATTGGACTTGGTGAGAGAGGAGGGACGAGGTGCTCAACATCTGAGCAATTTTATTGTCAAGCATGCATGTACAGCCAAGAGGGGGTTGTGTTTCCTGTCTAAAGACACCAGGCAGATCTCAATGCCAACCCAGCAAGAGGCCACTGCTGGTGTTATCTGCAGATGCGAGGGTAAAGGGGAGAGCAGGGAGGTGCGACCTAGAGCCCAAGAGCAAAGGTCAGCTCCGGACTGAATCAACTGCCACCCACACAGGAAGAGAGGGCAGCGGAACTGGGGGGTGCCACAGAACGGCCAGGTTTCAGCGCTGCCCTTCTCAGCCGGGAAGGCTCTCCCTCCCCTTTGCATCCAATTTAAACAAAGCCGGGCTCTTCTCGGCCTAATCGCTGCCATCTGGGATGGAGCCGGCGCTGCAGTGCGAGCTGTGCGGGTGCAGCAGACTGCCCTGCCCTGCCCACGCCCCACCGGGGCGGCTCAGCTACCCCACCACCGTCGGCCGTCTGTCGGGAGGCTTAGGGCGCCCAAGGAGGAACCGCCTTCAAGCTGGGCCTTTAAACCTCGGGCTGCCACTCTCGCCCTGCCAGCCCCGGTCCCTTTTCCTGCTCCCCCAAGCGACCCGCCCCTGTCCTCCGCATCCGCTCGCGGCCGGGAGGTCCTACGTGGCGCTATTAACTGCGCATGCTCCGCACCAGGGCGCGCGGAGGCAGGCGGGGCGGGCCGGGCC